AATTATTACAAATATATCTTAATTTTCGTCTATGAAACACAATTATGGAACTTTAAGCACGGTAAAAACTTCGGTATATGGCATATAGAGTTGAAGTATTATTACGGCATTCGAAATGCGGTAAACTCTTTTGCCTTTGGTTCTGTTTATATTTATCGCTTTGGTCTCTCCTATTTTTTTTTAATATATTTATCTTTTCTTTCTCTCTCTAACTCTTTTTAATATTTATTTCTTCTTTCTCTCTTTAATTTTTTTTATCTCTTTTTTCTCTCTAACTCTTTCTCTTTTTACTTACTTCATCAACTCAACAAATGTGATTCTAACATCTGACTCCATCTATTACTTCATCAACTCAACAAACGTGATTTTAACACGATACAAATCTGACTTTGTCTATTACTTCATCAACTCAACAAACGTGATTCTAACACAATATAAATCTGACTCCGTTTGTTACTTCATCAACTCAACAAACGTGATTCTAACACGATTCAAATCTGACTCCGTCTGTTACTTCATCAATTCAACAAACGTGATTCTCACACAATACAAATCTAACTCCGTCTGTTACTTCATTAACTCAACAAACGTGATTCTAATACAATATAAATTTGACTCCGTCTAATTTTCATAGGGGAAGGGGTGGAAGGGAGTTTTTATAGGGGAGGGTAAGATACTCACACGTTGTTATACAAATCTCTTTGGAGAGAGAAAGAGAGTTTAGAGATAAAGAAGAGATAAATATTAAAAAGAATTAGAGAGAGAAAGAAGATATAAAACTAAAAAAAATTAGAGAGATGAAGGAGATAAATATAAACCCCGTAATAATACTTAACATAGGTTAGTCTTTACCGTACCATAATTGTGCTTCACAGTAATACAGGCGACGTTTACGAAAGTTGAGGATTTGTTTAAATAGAAGATTAAGGTATATTTGTGATAATTTTCCTTAAAAATAGGAAGCGCTTAGCATATGCAGCCACCCTGCATAGTGTAGAAATTCGGGCTTGGCAATAAATATATTTTTTAAATATAATTTGATCTTAATTTTTAGAGAATATATATTCTTCAAGGTGGAGACCATTAACATGAAAAAAAAGAAAGAAACAAGATATGATAATTATATGAAAAAAACATTTGGACCATTAGTTACAATTGCTTTTAGATGGACCACGCATTTGCATCCGTCCTCAAGAAGAATGTTTTATGGAAAAATTTTATATATGGTCTCTAGTCTCAACCTTAGACTGAATGGGTAAGGTGCAAGTAAAAAAACCCCTAGTGAAGGTTGTTCTTATGCTAGAAAACCTTGAAATCGATTATCTCAACCTCGGGATTCATAGCCATGAAAAACAAGGGGATTTCTAGTCCTAAAAATAGTTCGCCTTCTCATACATTATCTAGACCGTTCGTTTTCATTACTTTCCAGTGTTTATAGATATGCTTAGATCGCCGCCGTTTTTAAAACTTTAAATTTCATAATTGTGGCCACAATAGATTTTCATATCATCATAACGCTTTGCGGTACCAAAACTGCATTTTAGGCACAATTTTGAGACACACCTTACTTCAATAGTATAAAGTACAAATCTCACGTTTTATACCTCTGGACTTCATATTGTAGAAATGCGGTACAGCCCGCATGAAACAATTGTTCTTAAAAATATGGATTGGTGACCCAGATTACCTATTTAGAAAGTCAGTCAACATCCACAATCCTGCTGAGTGAATTGGCCGATAAAAACTTAAAAAAATTAAAGAGCAAAAAAATTGAAAAATATAAAAGAATGAAGTGGGAACCTACTAGTTTTGAGGGAACTGACTGATTCTTGATATTTTGGCAAAATTGGACTAGCCCCAATGATTTTTGATCTGAACTAGCCAGTTTTGATCCGGTTCGCCAATTTTTAAAATCTTAATGGAAATGGAGGGTAGGACATTATGTTGATGCAACGACTCCTTTAACTACCAGTGCCCCTTTACAGGGAACTAAGCCTTTTATTTCTCGTAGACACAACCAATGTTCCAAAAATTGGACCAATAGGAGAACTGACCTTCCAAAGTCCGGTTTGGACTCGAGAATATACATTTCAAACCAGCAAATCAGGGATTTTGCTCCATGAGAATCAAACTGAAAAAATTAACAATATAATAGGCCAGAACCGAGTCTTGATTATCGAGTTTCCTGATAAGCTCCCAAGAACCAGCGAGTGCAATTAACTCAAACCGATTCTTGGTTCCAACTTCCAAAAGGGAATCTTGTCGGTGGAGACTTCTTCCAATTCAGATTGATAATTTTCGATCAGGACCATGTTCTTTTAAGGGTGTGGTTTTTATAAAGTTGCAACCTTAAGCAATCCAATTAAGGCGCACTTCCAAATTTTATCATAACATGTAATTTTGGTATAAAAAATTCTTAGGATCATGAAAATCTATTTTTATATTTAAATATAAAATTTTAAACTCCAAAAATGTTTAAAATCAAGTATATCTATAAACATATGAAAATCTTTAAAACAGATGGTCTAGATAATGTATTGCAAGATGCACTATTTCTCGGACCCGAAATCTTTTTTATTTTTATTTTTATATTTATACATGTCCATGTCGAGATGATCAATTAGATGTTTTTTCAATATTAAAACAACCTTTTATGATGGATTCTTGAGGAGCATATGTAATTCTACATTTTAAGGTTGCATCTTTATATAAGCTTTTTTCTTTTTTTAAACACTATTCTTAATAAATACATCTTTCTTGAATCCTGTCTCGCATATGGGCAATTCTCTCTACGAAACTAGTCCTTTTATCTCTACATACTGTCTAAGGGTGACAACAGGGCCAGTCTTGGGACTGGCCCTGCTCTTGTCCCCATGGGGGTGGTCCAAGCCTAGCCCAAACCCTGTTAAGGTTGGGGCCGGGCCAGAAACAAATGAAAAAACATAAAAGAAAAAATACAGAAAGAGGGCAGGGCTAGGCCAAACCGAACCGACACGGACCCTATCCCACCCTATAGGCCACAATTTGTGCCCTAGACCTTACTTTTTTAGGCCCGGGCCACCCGGCCCATTGCCAGCCTTTACACTCTCATACTCTTTTCTTAAGTATTCCTTATTAAATGTATAAATATGTATAAATTGGTGGAAATTAGAGTATGCATTGCTTTTCTAACAATGCGACTTAGGCCCCACCACTCACACACATAGCAAATGATTATTGTAAGGTTTTTCTCCTCGTTATAGAACAATGATAGGACAAAGCCACCAATAATGACCCCTTTCTTTGCCTATGTTCACTCTCTTTTGACCCAACTAAGAATCAACCAAAGCATATTACTCTTTACATTTTTTAATTCTTTCAACACAACCAATAGCCATCTTTGGGAATTGAGGTAGCGTACATATAAGCATACTGTTCATATCTTGACTTGACTATGGAGATTAATTTAGATTGGTCCTCCATGTGTTTTTGCTGCAAGAAGAAATTGGTCTAGTTTGTCGAGAGAGAGAGAGTCTTACCTATACTATGTTCCCACGGGGGCATGGTTTATTTCTATTCTACTCCCTTGGTGAGATGACCTCACTTGGGGCGGGGTTTCTTCGTTTTGGAATTTTGGAAACCACCTATAAAGAAAAATATTTGAAATTTGAGCTTTTTATCTCAAATCCTATATTTTAAAAATTGGATGGTCTCTATTCAATCTTGAGACAATATTCTTTTTTCAAGTGCTTAGAGGGTACAATTAGAAACTGTTTTTATATTCCCAAAATTTGGGGCCCTAAAATTAATACTAGTTTGGGTTTACCTGAGGGAGTAAATTGACAGTATACTCTCGAGGGAGTAGAATATCTTTTATCTTATATTTAAACAATCAATTTTCTTTATGGGTCGAGCTTTCTATGCTTACTCTACAGCATAAAATTTATATACTTCCCCTTATCCAACCATCCATTCTGAATCGAGGGCTAAGATTGCCCCAACCACAATGTCACGTCTCTATATTATTTTATTTTTAAGTTTTTTTTATATAAACTGTATTGACATAAAATTTTGGACATCCAATCCTCTATTAAACTCCCACTAGCGAAAAATATTAAAAAAATAAAATGACCAAAATACCCCTGAAAGATTCAAGGGGTAGTTTGGTCATTATATTTTATCGAAATTTTTTTTTTAAAAATATTTATAGGCGCTCCCAATGAGAAGATGACACGTACAAAATTTCATACCCATACAATTTATATAAAAAAACTAAAAATAAAATACTTT